AGCCACACCTACCTAAAACGGCTCGTTCTAACACGCCCCCACATGTCTACGTCACAATGTGGGAAGATTTGCATAACGCCGCCCAAATGTTCACACAAAGAAAGATGGTGTAACTTTTATTCTCGCTGTGGTATTGTGTTGCCGCCGCCATGTCGTGAAGGTGCTGTGTGATTCATTGTGAAAGCGAAACTACTTTGTTTGGTCTTCCAAAAGAGGACGATATCTTTTTAGCAGCATCATATGACTCCTTTAAGGTTAGTATTTTTCATGGATTTATTTGTAATTCATAAAGTAAACACATAGCACCATCCTTGCACTAATGAAATTACACTTGTGTTGTTTTCATGAGCTTCATGTTTTCAGTAATATCTTCAATATTCCTTTTCCCCTTTGACCCCTTCCCCTCTTACATTCCTGTCTCTTCTCAGTATGACAAGAGATGATGAAGTGAGCTTCGGAAGGAAATTCAAAGGCATGGGTTTTTTTTGGGGAATGTACATGCTTGGGAGTCCCTTTCATTTTGATTTAAGACAGTCAGGAGAGCATCCAAAAGGGCTTGTTTGCTGGTGCATGGTTCCTGCACAGGTCTGGCAGCACTAAAAGATTCATCAATGCTCAGATGTGATTAACATTTGACTCCAGACTAATAAAAACGAATGACAGAGTTGGGGTCAGAGGGTTGAGATCAAGGCTCATAGGATGTCCTCTCAATTTCCAGCCATCCAGATTAATGGGGCCCCTGTGGTAGGAGCAGCGAGTGGCTATATTTCAGTATCACTTACTCAGTGAGGCCTCTGAACCCTTAGGCCTCAGTACACTGCCCACCTGTTGCCCCATTAACTACTAATGGACTGCACAACCGCCAGGTTGCAGGGGAGGGGTGACGCAAGGGTGAGTTAGTTTTGTAGTTTCTTTGAAAAGCTTTGATTGTTCTATTTGTAGTTGACAAATAACTTGACAAATGTTCATGAACCTTCGTCAACAACGAGATTTTAGGTTAAAATGTAAATGAATTGTATTTGGAAAGTGTATTTTTAGGTGCTTTAACTATGTTTAATATGGTTTTCACAATTTTAATAATCTTTTAGTTGTTTTACAGCTCACTCAAGTAATCCTGCAGTGTGACCAATGAATTATTAAAAGTACAAATATGTTGTTTCTAAATTTGAGAGGTCATTCAAAATTTTTAAAAAATTCTAAAAGAATTTCCCCACAAACTAAAGAGTAACATCTCACAATTATGTGCTTAAACAAGAACAGTAAGCCAGATTTGTAGTTTTTTGGCTTCCGTTGTCCAGAATGGTAACACTTTGCAATAAGGTTCCATTTGTTAACATTAGTTAACTACATTAATTAAGTTTAACTAGTAATGGAAAATACTTCTAAAGCATTTATTAAGCTTAATGTTGATTCCTACATTTACATATAGCGTTTCTTTAAAATCATGGTTTTAGCTACTGCAAATAAAACCAAAAAAACTTGGCTACTATAGTTAAACCATGGTAACCACAAATTAAGCATGGTTTTGCAACACTGGTTATACAAATGTTAGGGAAGACACACAATATAGGCCTATGAAAATGTACATGGCACTTTGCATTACTTTGTAACTGGTTCATGGTATAATGAGAGGGAATTTGGACTATTTATAATTTAGTGTCTTTGTGCCAATTCGTGCCTGGTCAGCCGGTAAATAAAAAATCTGACCGGATATGCTGGCATCCGAGGCACAACAGAGCGCAGACACGTCAAGTCTGTCCTGAGAAATGCATCCGCAGCCCCGTGAGGAACTGAAAAAAACCCACACACACTCGTGAGTGAAGCTTCGTGATTAATGTTCACTCGACCGTCAGTGTTTAGAAACCATTCAAGTGCGAGTGCAAGTGTTCTGAGCACATTAAAGGCGTCATATGATGCGATTTCAATTTTTCCTTTCTCTTTGGCGTGTTACAAGCTCTTGGCGCATAAAGAAGATCTGTAAAGTTGCAAAGACTAAAGTCTCAAATCCAAAGAGATATTCTTTATAAAAGTTAAGTGTCAGCCACACCTACCTAAAACGGCTCGTTCTAACACGCCCCCACATGTCTACCTCACTATGTGGGAAGATTTGCATAACGCCGCTCAAATGTTCCAAAATACTGTTCTTTTTAGCAACATCATATGACCCCTTTAAGTAAGTCACGTATACTTTTACTTTGGAATTCCACTGCTGGGAGCACAATAAAAAGACTAAAATGTTTAAAAGATCCAAGACTAAATATCCAAATGAAAGTGAATCGACGCGCTTGGCCAATTCACTGTAAAGAAAGGACTCAGAAGAAGAATTATTCATTCGCAAAATAATGGTCTCACTGGTTCAGTCGTCAGAGCAATGTGACATACGCACATTATAACTGATGAAATATTTCCAGGAAAAAAGTGTCAATACTAAAAATGACAGAAAAATGTCCAGCAACAGAGCCATTGGCTGATGCCACATCACACTGCCAGCTGATATTAAAATACATACCTCTGTTGTTTTGTGACAACACATTTGCAATTTAAGATTAATATTAAAAGGTTAATAATAATAAACTGAGCATTTTAACTTGATAGTGAAGTCCATGACAATGTGGCAAAATTAAAAATGCATTTTAGCCAAGCAACTGTGATTAACAGGAATGCTGGATACTAGGTATTATAGATCTTCTTCCCTGCAAAAAAGTGAAAAATGGCTTTGGCTGTTTTGATTTTTTTATTTACTATTATTATTATCATTATTCTGGTCTATTTCACAAAAAGAGACAAGCCATTTGATGTGTGCTGCACCAACTTCCTGTTTCTATAGACAGCATGAAATAAAATTGTCAAACCATTTCAGTTTTGTTAACTTTAGGCTCCTGTATTGGATTCCTGCATCTGTCGAATAATGAACAATATGCTGTTTTGTCAGATGTGTGAATCACAATGATCTTAGCCTTTGTAACATTGTTAAAATGACACCATATGGTTGCCTGTCAGCACCATTTCAACGCCTCTATTTTTATACTAATTGTCTCAGAATGTTTCTAATTCTCATATCTACATCTAACAAGTTTGATTTCTCATCTTCCCCATCTTCATACTGAGTTACACAGCTCATGAACAAATTAATTGTTTTCTCATATCTTGTAAAGAATCTTTGAATTCATCTTTAATCAAGAGTCAAAAGCATGTAAGTATTTTTGGAAGGACAAATTAAGATGAACAGTTCACGATGATGTTTTCAGTCACAATTCAAAAGATTAAAGCACACATATTCAAAATTCGTATTCTTATAACAAATGCGTTTTTGTTCGTTTGTTTTTGTTTCACAGCATCTTTTTATTGTAATGTTTGAAAATGCATTGATGTCCAGTTACAACAAGGTTGCCAAAAAAATTATGAATATAAATCATACCAAGCTTTAAAAATCTCACCGAAATTGACCTAAGATATCATACAATATGTTGTCTCTTACAATTAACAGTAATGCAATTGCAAGCTGTCAGGAGGCGGTGGAAGTCCTTTAAATACAGGTCAAACTACATGAGAGCAGCCACAAGATGGCAGTGTCATCTTCACAAAACCCCAGATTTCCGCTCGTGTTCGGTTCCCAGTGGAAATGAATAGCTAACAAAAAAGCTATGGCTCATGTTTGTTCATTTCCCTGTGGAAATAGCCTTCGCAAAACTAATATAGCATAGTGTTTTTTTTTTTTTTACTGGCTCTTTAATATTATGATTTTACAGCTTCTAACTTACTTGGTTACTACTCTGGTAGTTTTTTTGAGTGGAGATTACACATTTTGGAGAATAGGGTTATCTGTTGGCTCATACTTTATCTTGGGTTAGTTATTAATTAGCCTAATCGTTGTTACTGTAAAGTTTTTATTTTCATATTTAGCCTATAGGGTCAACGTAACTGATTGGACAAATTCAGGATGCGACCTGTAATAACTGCCACCCACATAATAGCAACCACCTAAATGCAAAAAAAAAAAAAAAGGTTAGCACTAGTCTATGCCGTTCTAGTAGGCTATTAATAGTGTGATTAGTGTGTGTGCACAACGAATATTCCATAAAGAAAAAGTGCACTCCACATGCCCGGATGATGGAGGGGGAGGGGCTGTTATAGATGTTGGATGACAAAATAATCTTATATAATAATTACACTAGACGTCTGAGTACACGGTGCCTAGAATAAGTGCATAGCGTAGTGTGTCATTTGGGACACAACCTCTTATCACTCAACGCATTATGGTGCTTTCATTCAAGATTTCTCACCATGTCATATGCATTAGCTAAATGTAGCCTATTGAAAAGGTCCGTATCTGATTAAGTACAAAATCAATAAATAAAGATTTTATTTGAATAATACAAATAAAAACAATCTTTTTTGCCCATTACAGCATTCGCTCTGCACGTGAACTCCCTCAAAAACGGTAAAAAGAGCTTCATTTCAAATTTCATGCAACGCAGTTTCTTGCCTTATTGTGGAGCTAATGTGCTCATAGTTATCAGTGTGCTGTCGCGCATGTCAACGCACCTACCGTTTTAACGTTTCCCTCAGATACCTGGGAAAGTTGCTTCTAATGTACAAAGTCATGAATATTTAATGAGGTAGAACCGAGGCTGTTTATGATTGGTTGTCTGTTGCTAAACAACTGTGCATCTTAGGGGTCAATCCCTCTAAAAGCTCTATGCTCTGAATCAGAATTTCATGGTTAAAAACATTTTTTGCCCTGCTGCTGTTTAAGTAGACAGGGTTAAGTGTGCTGTGAAAGAACACGTATTGTTTTTGTCTGAAAGCGTTCTTTTTGCCACGAGTGAACTGCACTGCAGTGCAAACTAAACGCCACCACTGCATAGTGCATACCTGTCTGTCGACCGCACTAAATGAAAAGCGCTCGGCACATGGATCATGCGTAATAAGACTACACTTCCCATGATGCACCGCCCTCGCGTCGTTCCGCTGCTGTCACTTTGCCGATGCGAGAATCGCCCAGCAGCATCTCAGCCGAGCAGCAGCGCAAAAATGCACTGAAATACGCATTTTAGGACATTTCCACCCGCGTTCGGTTTGCCATGAGGGCGTGTGATGGGAATAACGGGGATGTTCGCACCGGATTACGTCCCTTTATTTTGAGAGAAATGCGGATTGTTTTGCGCTCGAGGTGTTAACGCAGAAAAAAAAATACAAAAATGAAGAAGCAATTTAATCGGATGCGACAGCTCGCCAACCAGACTGTTGGCAGGTGAGCGCTATGATCTTAAATACGATCGTTTTACACCATGACGAAGTTTATTTATTTGCAGAAAAGAATCCCTAACTCACATATATTTTCCCATTCAAACTTTCGTTATTTTCTAAATATAGCCTGTGAATGCATATTTAAACATTTTTAGTAGCCATTACTACTAATAGCGTCTAGCTATTGCGCAATGCATCTTAAACTAGCATTATCACACCCATGCAATATTAGGCATCATTATTATAAAGGCATGATTGGAGGTTGTGCATGCATCCGTGTGTTGTGCGTAACGGGTTCACTGCAGAGGCTTTTCTTCTAGCAAAATGGTTCTCGGAGGTTCCCCGTGGCACTGACACTACACCCCCTGCACATGCCTCCAGGATGCATTTCCATCAAATGCAGCGTATTGTAGCACTGCTGTATCAGCTCACGTTGATTTGAATGAGAGGTGTGAGAATGACATGTCTCTAGTGCCAGCTGATGCGGATGGATGCGGATGAGAGGAAAATGGCAAAGGCGCAATGTTTTCATTGCACACTGATCTCTGAAAAAAAAAAAGAGAGAGAGAGGAGGAGTTGGGTGCAGTACATCAGCAAGATTGGTCAGTGATGGAGAAGGTCATCATTGCTTCAGAAAGCACGGGTTCGAATTTCCAAATCCAGTTCATTATAGTGCGGATAGCGAAAAAGTTGCTGCCGTTTTTTTTTCTTGCTTATCCCATTTATCTTGTTTATGCTGGAGTGGGTGTGCGATGCTTGACCTTTCACATGTTTGGATTGTTCTTTACGTTCTTCGCTCATCCACCTCTCTTCTTGTCATGCACGGGGCGTTGTGAAAGGCCAGAAGGTGTGTGTCGCTATCGGGCGGCTCCTTGCTGGGTGATTATACCACAGTGCTGTGGGTCATCATTTCAAATCCATTCTCAGTGGATGGGTAAGGGAAGCTTCTCTTTTACCTCCTCTGGCTGGCATCAGCAGGCCAGTGGAAAATGGCAAGCCGAGCTCCTCCAACCTGGTTCCAGCATTGCTCAGGGCATGAGATTGTGTGTGTGTGTGTGTGTGTGTGTGTTTGTGCGTAAGCCCTGCATTAGTATTCTCTACCTTTCCCTGGTAATGTCCAGGGAACTGTGGCAGTGGCCCACTGTGGCATTCTGTCTGTAGCTGCATGTGCGGTAATGAGAAACAACATGTTTCCTAAACAACGCAGTGTACTGACTCATTAATAATATGTCCAGGGTCTGGGAGGGCACACTGGACTGATGTTTGCTTTGGAAAATAGATTTGCATATTCCTGTCATGTTTTAGAAGTACAGAGTCACATCTCCCAATATCAGCTGAGAGTTGCACTTAGACACTGTGTTCACGACCTTGACAGACTCGTGCAGAGGTATTGCAGTGCAAGAGATGATCCATGACTCTTGTTACGTCACTGACTTTTGTTGTCCATTATCAACACCAGTTTTCTTTGCGAATATTTAAAGTCAGCATGAAATCAATATAGCTTTTATTTTCTTAATGTGTGTTACTGATCTTATTGTGAACAATTTTTAATGCACATGTATTTTTTACCAAATTTGAATTTAAATGGCATAACTTGTTCTTCCTGTGATATGATCGACTTCTCTCTGCTTATGTATGCAGTCAAGCCAATCACATTCAGATCTGCCTTCATTTCAGTATTCAATGCTCGCTTTTCACTTTAAAGGGTTAGTTCACCCAAAAATGAAAATATTGTCATTAATTACTCACCCTCATGTCGTTCCAAACCCGTAACACCTTTGTTCATCTTCGGAACACAAATTAAGATATTTTTGATGGAATCTAAGAGCTGTCTGACCCTGCATAGACAGCAACGCAACTGAACTGCTCCCAAGTCCAGAAACGTAGCAAGGAGATCAGTAAAATAATCCATGTTCAACTGGGTTCAAACAGGGGTTCAACTGTTCTGTGTCAGCTGCGTCACGCCGGATCTGTTTTCTACGTTGTTGTGATTTGATCTGAACGAAAACAGTGTATCCGTGTGACACAGCTGACACAGAACAGCATACGCTGTTTACGTCCAGCGGATATTCTCCAAAAATGGCACCAGGGTGATGTGGAGGAGATGAATTGTTGAATAAAGTCATTTTTTTTTTTCTTTTGTGCACAAAAAGTATTCTCGTAGCTTCGTAAAATTACGGTTGAACCCTTGATGTCACATGGATTACTTTACTGATCTCCTTGCTACGTTTCTGGACCTTGATCGTGGTAATTTTCATTTTTGGGTGAACTATCCCTTTAAAGTTGACATGAAACAGAAATTACAATCGTTGTTCTTTTCATATTATGATGCATTTTCAGTTATTTGATTATTTTCTGTTTGTTATTTTCTGATTATTTTCGGAACTTCATGAACGAAAACTCCAAAAGTACTAAAAGTGTTTATTAACAATGAAAAGTCTTTATATAATACTTACAAAACAGCAGACTCCGACTCAAAACAGTGAAAGCAACATTTTAAATGAATAACCTACCATTCAGAACACTGGGGTCGGTAAGATTTTTTTTTTTTTTTTATGAAAGAAATTAGTACTTTTAATCAGCAATTAAACATTAAATGAGACAAAAATAGCAGTAAATACATTTATAATGTTACAAACGATTTTTCTATTTAAAATAAATGCTGTTTTATAACTTTGTGTTCATCAAAGCATCCAAAAATTAAAAGTTTTGACAAAAAGAAATTAAGCAGCCCAACTGTTTTCAATATAATAAGAAACGAGCAGCAAATATAGCAAACATATTAGAATGATCTCTGAAGGATCATGTAACACTGAAGACTGGAGAAATTATGCTGAAAATTCAGCTTTGCATCACAGGAATAAATGACATTTTAAAATATATTCAGTGCAACCTTGCTTTCAAAAACATTACTAAATACTGACCCCAAACTTAAATGATAGTGTTATTCAAACCAAATTCTGTTCGACGAGCCATGTCTGAAGCCATTGTAAAATAGCGGATACACAAGATAGTTGATAATCCATATAAATGTATAGCAGCTGTAAACAACTAAACTCCTCTTCATGTTGTATCTAACAAACATTTCTATAATCAGTATGTACTGCAATACTGCACAGGCCTAGTGTATACATTTGTATTTATGTATTTGACATTTGTCCAGATGCTTTTATAGCTGTGTCCCCCATCCTCCCCGCTGTTTTCATTTCTCATCATTTGTAAATCACATTTCCTCTTGCCCACTGTGATGAAAATGACTACCCCCTGCTCTGTGTGTATGTGTATTTGTGTTTATCTGGCTCAGGGGCCAGTATTTGTGTTCTTTCTCCGTGTTCTCATTGTGACTATATTTCTAGTCCTCTCATTCATGTTTTTGTGGCAGTGAGTGTTTGTGAGGGTTTTTGGTGGGGTTGTGCACTGCCTGTAGTGTTTTCTCTCTCAGGAAGTATGGCAGCCTCCCTCTTCCTTCAGAACCGCCAGCTTGTTGTTACTGGGAACAGTATGTTGTAAGGAGTTGTGTGTGTTTTTCGCCGTCAGCAGAGAGCTTGGGAACAGTGTGTTTGTTGATTAATGGCCCTGCGTTACAAACGTGCTCGCACAACAGGGAGTGCCCACACATTGCAGGGAATCCTTTCTTTTATATACACCAAACACTTATATTTAAGGGGTTTTATATTTTTGGCCATTCATTCACACAACAATGGCGTTTTTGGGTCCACGTGTTTCAAAGTGCAAGTTTTTGAAAACTATAAGCTTATCGTCTCTTTGTAAACTACCAAAAAGGAATTTGTGAAAATGTTGATTTCATGCGCATGTGTTTTATATGTTCACCAACTATAGTGGCCTAATGCATAATACGGTGTTTTTAGTCATTTTTCGTGGATCTGTGTGAACAGGGATCGTTTTGACAAGTTGACAACATTGTTGTCTGTAAAAACGCAAAGGAAAAATGTTTCCGTTTTAGTCAAGCGGCAACCTCCCCCTCTCTCTGGTGAAGCCAACAAGGAAGTGACTTAAACTGTAATTCATCAACTGGCCGCTAGAGGCTGGCTGCAAAAGGGAGTCAATCCCATAGACTCCCCATGTTAAAATGCCCAACTTTACAGCAGAAAAAAACGTTTACAGCCTGGTTCAAAAAATTATTTTGGTCTACAGGTGCATCTCAATAAATTAGAATGTCGTGGAAAAGTTCATTTATTTCAGTAATTCAACTCAAATTGTGAAACTCGTGTATTAAATAAATTCAATGCACACAGACTGAAGTAGTTTAAGTCTTTGGTTCTTTTAATTGTGATGATTTTGGCTCACATTTAACAAAAACCCACCAATTCACTATCTCAACAAATTAGAATACTTCATAAGACCAATAAAAAAAAACATTTTTAGTGAATTGTTGGCCTTCTGGAAAGTATGTTCATTTACTGTACATGTACTCAATACTTGGTAGGGGCTCCTTTTGCTTTAATTACTGCCTCAATTCGGCGTGGCATGGAGGTGATCAGTTTGTGGCACTGCTGAGGTGGTATGGAAGCCCAGGTTTCCTTGACAGTGGCCTTCAGCTCATCTGCATCTTTTGGTCTCTTGTTTCTCATTTTCCTCTTGACAATACACCATAGATTCTCTATGGGGTTCAGGGCTGGTGAGTTTGCTGGCCAGTCAAGCACACCAACACCATGATCATTTAACCAACTTTTGGTGCTTTTAGCAGTGTGGGCAGGTGCCAAATCCTGCTAGAAAATGAAATCAGCAT